GTCGAGCCTTCTGTATCCTTACTGAGATTTCGTCACACACCAGACCACAAGGGCTGATGAGACTTCCAAGATAAGTGAAGCGGTCGACACGCTTAGCTACTTCGGGGAGTGAAGTAGTTGACTATAGGCTCAATATCAAATCAGTGTGTATATAGGAATACTCAAAGACAATATCCTACTAAGACTTATTCAAGCTTTAACCATAATGAAAACTTAAATACCCTTTCTATGTTTATAAACTTTTTTCTTTTTCCCTTCTTTTATTACTTGGCAATATTGATTTATTATCCAGTATGATATAATTTGTCAGTTAAGTTTTCAGTCTTTCAATCGTTCCAATTGTTCATTGTTCTGGGCCCCAAGAAGCATCATCACAAGGAATGGATCTCTACAGAAACACTGGACAGGATCAAAGAAAGAAAGAACAAGAAGACAGCAATTAACAACAGTCGAACAAGAGCAGAGAAAGTCCAAGCACAAGCAGAGTACATAGAAGCAAACAAGAAAGTGAAGAAGAGCATTAGAGCTGATAAGCAAAAATACGTGGAAGAACTAGCAACGACGGCGGAAAAAGCTGCAAGAGAAGGAAATATGAGACAGCTTTACGATACGACGAAGAAGCTTGCAGGGAAATACAGTAAACCAGAGAGACCAGTCAAAGACAAAGAAGGAAGACCAATCACTGAGATTCAACAACAGCGCAACAGATGGGCAGAGTACTTCGAGGAACTCCTGAACAGGCCGGCTCCAATGAATCCACCGGACATCGAAGCACACACAGATATTCCTATAAATGTCAATCCACCAACGACCGAAGAAATCAGAATGGCCATCAGACAAATCAAGAGCGGGAAAGCAGCAGGACCTGACAATATACCAGCTGAAGCTTTGAAGTCAGACATCGAAGTAACTACAAGCATGCTTCATCTTCTATTCAAGAAGATTTGGGAGGAGAACGAACAAGTGCCGATGGATTGGAAAGAAGGACACCTCATCAAGATTCCAAAGAAAGGAGATCTGAGCAAGTGTGAAAACTACAGAGGCATTACACTACTGTCAATACCGGGTAAAGTCTTCAACAGAGTGCTACTGAACAGGATGAAAGACGCAGTTGACGCTCAACTTCGAGATCAACAAGTTGGATTCCGTAAGGACCGGTCGTGCACAGACCGAATTGCGACACTACGGATCATCGTCGAACAATCAATTGAGTGGAACTCGTCACTCTACATCAACTTCATTGATTATGAGAAGGCATTTGACAGTGTAGATAGGAGGACGTTATGGAAACTTCTTCGACACTACGGAGTTCCTGAGAAGATTGTCAACATTATCCGGAACTCATACGATGGACTACAGTGCAAAGTAGTGCATGGAGGACAGCTGACTGACGCATTCCAAGTAAGGACCGGAGTAAGACAAGGCTGTCTACTCTCTCCCTTCCTGTTTCTCCTGGTGGTCGACTGGATTATGAAGACCTCGACATCTGAGAGAAACTACGGCATACGATGGACAGCTCAGAACCAATTAGACGCTTTAGACTTCGCAGATGACCTAGCCCTCCTATCACATACACACGAACAAATGCAGATAAAGACAGTCAGCATAGCAGCAGTCTCTGCATCAGTAGGCCTCAACATACACAAAGGGAAAACCAAGGTCCTCAAACACAACACGGAGAACAGCAATCCAATCACTCTTGATGGCGAAACTCTGGAAGACGTGGAATCCTTCACATACCTGGGAAGCAGCATCGATGAACAAGGAGGTTCAGATGCAGACGTCAAGGCAAGGATTGGCAAAGCTAGAGCGGCATTCCTTCAACTGAAGAACATATGGAACTCAAAACAACTTTCAACCAATATCAAAGTCAGAATCTTCAATACGAACGTCAAGGCAGTTCTACTGTACGGAGCTGAAACTTGTAGAACTACAACAACCACCATCAAGAAGGTACAGGTATTTATTAATAGCTGTCTACGCATGATACTCAACATCCAACATTGGCCGGATACCATCAGCAACAGCCTTTTGTGGGAGAGAACCAACCAGCTTTCAGCTGAAGAGGAAATTAGGAAAAGACGATGGAAATGGATAGGACATACATTGAGGAAATCATCAAACTACATTACGAGGCAAGCGCTAACTTGGAATCCTGAAGGGAAGCGGAAAAGAGGAAGGCCAAAGAACACATTACGTCGGGAAATAGAAGCAGATATGAAAAAGATGAATAAGAACTGGAAAGAGCTTGAAAGTATTGCATGGGACAGGGTTGGATGGAGAATGCTGGTGAGCGGCATATGCTCCTTCACGAGGAGTAACAGGCGTAAGTAAGTAAGTAATTGTTCATTGATTATCAAATTATTATCAGTTAGCAATAATAAAGATCTTCATATCTACCGGTTATCGATTGGATCATGAAGACGTCAACATCTGAAGGGAAACACGGGATACAGTGGACATCTAGGATACAGTTGGATGATCTAGACTTCGCAGATGATCTGGCTCTTCTAACGCAAACACAACAATAAATGCATTAGAAGACGACCAGTGTAGCAACAGCCTCAGCAGCAATAGGTCTCAATATACACAAAGGGAAAAGCGAGATTCTCCGATACAACACAACATGCACCAATCCAATCACAATTGACGGAGAAAATTTGGAAGACGTAAAAACCTGTACATATCTGGGCAGCATTAGTGATGAACACGGTGGATCTGATGCAGATGTGAAGGCATGGATCGGCAAAGCAAGAATAGCATATCTACAATTGAAGAACATGTGGAAAGCAAAACAATTGGCAACCAACACCAAAGTCAGAATTTTCAATACAAATATCAAGACAGTTCTACTGTATGGGGCCGAAACCTGGAAAACCACGAAAGCCATCATCCAGAAGATACAGGTGTTTATTAACAGTTGTCTACGCAAAATACTTCGGATCCGTTGGCCGGACACTATTAGCAACAACCTACTGTGGGAGAGAACAAATCAGATCCCAGTGTAGGAAGAAATCAGGAAGAAGCGCTGGAAGTGGATAGGACACACATTGAGGAAAGCACCGAACTGCGTCACAAGACAAGCCCTCATATGGAACCCTCAAGGTCGAAGGAAGAGAGGAAGACCAAAGAATACATTACGCCGAGAAATGGAGATAGATATGAGAAAAATGAACAAGAATTGTATGGAACTAGAAAAGAATGCCCAGGACAGAGTGGGTTGGAGAATGCTGGTTGGCAGTAGACTTCGATTGCAAACACTGAATAAATCATCAGACTGCATCACGAAGCAAACGCTAATTTGGAATTATGGAGGGAGAATGAAAAGCGAAAGACCAAAGAACACATTGTGTCAGGAATTGTGAGCAGATACGAAGAGGATTAATAGCACCTGGAAAGAACTGGGAAGGATTGTACAGAACAGATTTGAATGGAGTATGCTGGTAGTTTGATGCGCATGCCCCTCAAATGCCTCCAAATGCTCTGGTACGGACGAGGGTGAGTTGAGTTCGCTCTCCTTCTCCGAATGCTCTCATATGGCCAAATGCATACAGCCACTGTCAACGAAATCCTACTCACTTCCTTCACGTGGCATTACTGTTGTTTACGAAATTGAGAGGACAAAAAGCGAATATCTGGTGCTTTAACCCGATTAGTGGACATGGAGAGTCCATCTAAGGGAGTTGATAAACCCTGATTCCAAACAAATGGTGCACATGGGCTTCAGGATCTTGAGGGAACAAATGGCGTACGAGTCAACTCTTGGTCACCAGCTACTATGTGACTGTGTCTCCTTACGTTTCTCTACTGCCTTGTGGATCAGACCTTTAGGTCGAATGCTCCGGGTGTAGCCCACTAAGAAAACCACTTGTTTCGGTTTAGGCACCTGGGTAGTATCCCAGCCTTCACACTAATCGAATGATTTATGTGGCGCATATCTATTTGGTTCCTTCTTGTACCAATAATTAAATGTTCAAATAAAAAACCCTCTACTAGATTAAGAAAACTAGGAAGGAATATTCATCTTTCTAAGCTTCACCGTTACGTTTAACTCGATTGGTTCTATGTTCGTTTTCTAGTGTCTAGGTCTTGAATACGTATTGCTAAGGAGTGCCATATTAAGACAAACTGGCTGTCTAGTGCTTCATAACTTTTGTGATTAATTAAGTAGGACTATTCAGTGATACTTAATTACTTACTTACACATGTTACATAGGCAAACATAGACGAACTACCAGCATACTCCATTCAAATCTGTTCTGTACAATCCTTCCCAGTTCTTTCCAGGTGCTATTAATCCTCTTCGTATCTGCTCACAATTCCTGACACAATGTGTTCTTTGGTCTTTCGCTTTTCATTCTCCCTCCATAATTCCAAATTAGCGTTTGCTTCGTGATGCAGTCTGATGATTTATTTAGTGTTTGCAATCGAAGTCTACTGCCAACCAGCATTCTCCAACCCACTCTGTCCTGGGCATTCTTTTCTAGTTCCATACAATTCTTGTTCATTTATCTCATGTCTAGCTCCATTTCTCGGCGTAATGTGTTCTTTGGTCTTCCTCTCCTCCTTCGACCTTGAGGATTCCATGTGAGGACTTGTCTTGTGACACAGTTCGGTGCTTTCTTCAATGTGTGTCCTATCCACTTCCAGCACTTCTGCCTGATTTCTTCCTACACTGGAATCTGATTCGTTCTCTCCCACAGTAGGTTGTTGCTAATAGTGTCCGGCCAACGGATCCGGAGTGTTTTGCGTAGACAACTGTTAATAAACACCTGTATCTTCTGGATAATGGCTTTCGTGGTTTTCCAGTTTTCGGCCCCATACAGTAGAACTGTCTTGATATTTGTATTGAAAATTCTGACTTTGGTGTTGGTTGCCAATTGTTTTGATTTCCACATGTTCTTCAATTGTAGATATGATGCACTTGCTTTGCCAATCCGCACCCTCACATCTGTTGTTTCCGATCTGTGTAACATATATTGACTAATCATTAAAATATA